CTAACCATATATACAATATATTCTAACATAAGTTAATATAAACTCCTGTATACGCATATCAGCCAGTAAGTACTACACATTCCAGTATTACACCCAAGACGAACAAAACCATCAAATAAAGTTAATATAAGCTCCTGTGTACGCATATCAGCCAGTAAGTACTACACATTCCAGTATTACACCCAAGATGAACAAAACCATCAAATTAAGTTAATATAAACTCCTGTATACGCATATCAGCCAGTAAGTACTACACATTCCAGGATAGAACCGAAATATCATATCGTACAGCAAATAACACGACAGAATTACAAACTGACACAAGCCAAAAAAAAGTCTAGTGATAATTAGCCGCATGGAGTGAGCTTTTTGTTCCCTGCACCACGAGGGTTTTCATCTTTCCAGTCGTCCCAAGCTCTCGCCTTTTCTTGTGCATCATCATCATCACTCTCATCATCCTCCTCGCTCAGCTTCGGTTGCTTGTTGTCTTTGTACCAAGACGAGTTAGCTTCTTCCATAAGCTTCACGTTTCTTTCTTGCCATTTGTTCATTATCTCCATTTCCTTTAAGCCGGCTTCCTCTATACTCATAGTCGGTAATCTAATGATTAAAAAATTAAGATCTCAGAAAAAAATTATTAAACCGCTCGCTCGTCCTATTTTACTTCTGTCATATATTTTTTTAATCGAATTTCAATTTCTACCATATACTTGAGCAGCGGGGAGGGAAAAGTGTTAACATATACCTGTAGTGAGGTTGGAATACTTGAGCAGCGATTTTCTCCCTCTCGCTGGTCGGTTTTTTGCTCACGAGGCTTGCTGGTCCGAATATCATCGGCTGGTGCCGGTGTTCATGAGCCTGTGAAACGTTAGCTCTACCTTCTAGAACATCCTGAGCGAAAGTGGCACATGTGATAGGGGCAGCAGGTTTTGTAAAACGAGCCCTTGAGGCGGCATCGCGATGCCAGGCTTCGGCTTTCTTGGCGCGCTCATCGAGAATAGACCGTGAAAGTTCATCTTCCCCTTCCTGCAGAATTGTATGCGTCTACTTATCACGACACCAAGAGAAATGAACTTTAAGTAATAATAAGTTGGGCAGAAAAGAACAGGGAAACATAAAAAGACAAAAAAAATTGCATCGGAGAGGAAAAGTAACAAAATTTCCAACCTGGCAGGGTTTTTAACTTATGGAGCATGGGGCATATTTTTCTATACTGTTTTCACTGTTCTTCAAATATAGGGTTCACGACTACAATTTCCGAACATAAATTCACGTGTTTCATGCAGACAACACATATGACCATAACCATGTTAGTAAATTTTGACAAGTTGATACCTGAGACTGTCGTTCCTTGATAGCCAAAAGCATCTCTTCCTCTTTCTTCAGCATTTCAAGCAGATCAAATGCCTGGAATAACGAGAAGAAAAAAATATTACGTGTACAGACAGACGTGTGTAATCAATATATATATGATACACTTAGGAGCTGAAGCTTTGGGCCAACCTTACAAAGTGCCAATGAGATGGTGGTTAGCCATGCCTGTGAACAAGAAGAATACTAGTTATATTGATATTCACAAACTGAGTGGAGGGAAGAATGAGGCCGAGAACAGGAACAAACAGATGCTATGAACAATCATACACAAGTATCATAACATAACAACAATTATACCAATATCTCTCCACCATCATGACATCTAATATCAATCAATCAATCCCTTTTCAGTCTAGCTATTACCGTACACACATACCGTGCCTATACAATTCAACAAACCTAACACTTCCAGGCATAGCCGGACATTAATTACTAGCTGGACAATAAGGAAACAAAATAAACTATAGGAAAAAAACTAAGGGGCTGCTTGTTTACCAAATAATTTACTCAGATTTAATTCATACTCAAAATCTAACTCAACTTTCACTCAACCCCACTATCCTTAATTATATTCATATAAGTAAATAATACAAAATCAATCATTCTTACACATCACATCAACTTTAATTCACTACTCATCCACTCACATAATTTTAACTATCATTTTCAATAATTTATCTCCTACTTTTACATCAAATCATCTTTAATCATTTTATTTTAAATATTATTTTAATACATTCTTAAAATCCTCCTAACAACTAGTCAGACCACCTTTTTTTTCAAAATTAACTGTTGTTAACCAAAAAAACTCATTTTGAATAGATTAATTAAAAAACAAGCGCGGCTTAAGTTATTTAATAAAGAAAATAAGAAATAACCCCAAGAGAACAGACCTCCCTTTCTTCTTCTCCGTCATCGTCCACCTCATCTTCTTCTCCAGCCTCAACAGGAGCAGATAATGCAGAAGCTTTAGTTGACCGGCCACGGCGTTCCTTTCGTTCTCTTATTTCAAGCAACTTCGACTCTGCAGCTTTCTGCCTTTTGAACCGAGCAATCTGGCACACAAACAAAATTTGTAGTCACAAACCCAAAACATGTTTGGTTTATATTGTTCGGTTAAAGCAGCATAATTAGCGCACTCAAATGCAGAATAATGTCAAGTATAAGATAGACTGCATTATCCAAAATAAATATCCCCATCTACCTTCTGAGCTCTCCTATCAGCAGATGTACCACCCATTGCTCGGCCA